CCATTACTGAAAGTTGGCCAAATTTAACAGTGGGAATAATATTCTTGTTTTGATATGCTTGAAGTAGTTTTCTCCAAACTTTTGTGGGTCCTGCATTATAATAAAGCATGATTTTCACTTTGTCACAGAAAATTACATCATCCCAGGTTTCTGAATCATACCTTAAATATGTACTAGCAAACTGAAACCGTTTTTCAATATTTTGAACAGATGACAACGGTTTTTTACGTGCAACTCTTGAAGAATAATTGTTTTGTAATAGCACTTTTCCTATTGTCTCCTGACAATATCAACAATATCAAATTACATTTGATTTTTAAAATAATAATTATTGTAATGATGAATATTAGTAAAATAATCCAATATATGTGGTGTTTATTAAAATCGTGATTATATTCTAACATATCTATAATCTGAAAATTTGATTCTGTTTCGTTTTTAATATAATTTATTACTTTAAAATTGTTGATATTTACTGGTGTTACATATTTCTTTATTATCTCTTTTGCATTAATGTATTCTATATTATCTATAAAAGTTTTGTTATTTAAAGTAATTGAGTATGTTCCATTTAATTTAGCTCCATTTACAGTATGATTTCCTGATAATAAAATTGCTCCATCATTTATAATTTCAATATTTTGGTTGCTTTCTTTTGTTTATTACATTTTTAGTCGTTTCTTTTGACTATTTTATTTAACATACACTATTATACAAAACTACTTTTTACAAACTACAAAATAGTACAAGTTTACTCTAGGAAAATTAACCATCAACTAACTGTTGTTATCAATTGCCTCTCATACTTTAATTTGTTGTTAAGGTGACCAGTTTATGTGGTTTTATCTTTTCAGCATTGCCAGGTGTCTTTTTCCTTCAAGAATGACAATTGGATATTTTCTGGGTTGCCATCTTTGTTGTACTGTCGCCACAGTATGGTGGCTCCAACGGGCGCTGAACAGAATCAGTCCTAAGCAGGACGTGTGAACAGTTGTAGAGGTTTTTCAACACAAATGAAACATTGTTCCGGTGATGTGTTGCGGGAGTCGGTCGCACTAATCGCATGTGTTTGCGAAACTCCGCTATGAAAATCTGCGGGCTGGTGCATTGTTGGTCGTCCTCAACAAACTCGTTCGGTAGTCGAATCGGGGAACCATACAGCATCTCAGCAGTTGAAGTTTGCAGATCTTCCTTGAAACACGTTCGTAGGCCTAGCAGGACTGTTGGTAGTAATTCTGTCTAGGATTCTACTTCGTGACACATAAGTGCTGCTTTTAAAGAACGGTGCCAGCGTTCAATCATACCGTTTGCCTGTGGGCGGTATGACGTGGTGTGGACGTGTTTTGCTTCTATCATTTTGGTCATGGCTTTGAAATAAGCTGATTCAAATTGTAGGCCCCGGTCCGTTGTTATGGTTTGCGGGCATCCAAACTCGCCACCCAGTTTGACCAAAAAACAGATACTATGGTGTTTGCCGTAATGTCTTTTAAAGGTATAGCTTCAGGCCACCTTGAAAAACGATCAATCATTGTTAAACAATAGCGATACCCTTTATCCATTGGCATCACAATGATGTCGATATGTACATGGTCGAAACGGTTGTCTGGCATGTCGATTTTAATTGGCCGAAAATTATTGTGTCTGTGTATTTTTGCTCGTTGACAGGGTAAACAATTTCGCGCCCATTCAACTATATCAATTCGCATGGAAGGCCAGACGTATTTTTGTTTTATCTGATGCAGGATGGATCTTCCACTGGGGTGTGACATGCCGTGAATTGATGCGAAAACCTTATGACGCAGAGATACTGGCACGTATGGCCGAATTGTTCCTGTAGACACATCGCAGAACAAAGAATTTTTGTCGTTGAAAACAATTGCTTGCAGTTTCAAAGATGTTTCCCCGTGCAACAGCGTTTTTAACTCTTGATCGTTTTGTTGTTCCTCTGCAACGGTTGATAAACTGACAGCAGTTGGCAGCGATACAGCTGAAATGCGAGAAAGAGCATCTGCCACAGCATTGTCACTTCCAGATAGGTGTACAATGGTTGTTTAAAATTGGGAAATATAATCGAGATGGCGGAGCTGTCGTGGTGACGCCTTCTCTGGTTTCTGTTTGAAAGCATATATCAGCGGTTTGTGGTCCGTTTTAATGACGAAGACTCGTGCTTCTAGGAGGTGTTTGAAAAAACGAATGGCGCTGTAGATTGCTAATAATTCTCTATCATATGCGCTGTAATTTTTTTCAGTTGCTGAGAGTTTTCTCGAAAAAAATCCAAATGGTACCCAAGTGCCCTGGTCATATTGTTCTACGGCAGCGCCAATAGCAACGTCAGATGCATCACAGATAAGTGCCAGCTCAGCATCAGGTGCTGGATGTGCAATTAGTGCAGCATTCGCAACGCTGTGATTACAGTTATTGAACGCATCGAGACTTTCGGGAGTCCAAGAGATTTTTCGTTTGTCATTCTTTTTGATGTTTCGTACCAGATCACTAAGCTGTGCTTGATGTTGCGATAAGTGTGGTATACAACGCCGGTAGTAATTCAGAACACCTAGAAACCGTGCTAGGTCACTGACTGTGTCAGGTTGTTTGTAATTTACTATTGCTTCAATGCGGTCCTGTGGTGGTTTAATGCCATTCTTGCTGACCGTGTAGCCCAGAAAGAGAATTTCCGATTTACCAAATTGACATTTGTTGACTGTAAAAATACTAATAAATAAATAACAGAACACCGGTTTTAGCGTCAGTTTCTGCTGACAGTTTATTAACGACTAAAATATACAATGAATGTGTATAATTATGCGTACAATGTTTGAAAGATAGAGAGAGACAGTAGCGGCAAGAAACAACCCTTTATTGCGCTTTAGTTTTCACATCCTGGGGCCCGCGAGTTGCAGAAACCTCGAGTGGATACAGTAATTGAATTGGTCTCTTCAAGGTAAGATTGTTACCCATGTAAACATCACAATCTCGTATTCTGTTGTCTCTTCCGTGGTATACATTTTTAATGACACCCATTTTCCATTGTAGCCGAGTTTTTAAATTATCACCGACTAAAACAATATCTCCCTCATTTACACTCCTTGAAGCACGAGGTTTATTGTAGTGAATACTCCGTAATTGGTTCAAATATTCTTGCTGCCATCTTTTAAGATACCTTACGATTAACGCTCGACGTTTTTGCCATAAATCACCAACTTCTGATCTGTCATAGTTAAACTCGTCAATAATAAAGCTGTGTTGACACGAATTTAAAAAATGTGCTGGTGTTAATGGTTCTAAATCCTTTTCATCATTTGTTATGTAGGTTAAAGGACGAATATTTACAACGTATTCAACTTCTGTCAATAGTGTGTTCAATTCATCGTATGTCAATATCAATTTCCCAATAGCTGACTTCAAGCATATCTTGACACTTTTCACTAATCTTTCCCAGAATCCACCCCACCATGCCGCTCTTTCTGGTATGAATTTCCATGAAAATCCTTTGTGGGCTGCATTGTTCTGAAATTCTTCGGATTTAAGTAAAGTTTCTAGCTTTTGAAGTTCTTTGTTTGCTCTTTTAAATGTTTTGGCATTACCTGACATGATTGTTTCTGGACAACCACGACGCGTTATAAACCTTCTTAAAGCGTCAATACAACTGTTGGTTGTAAGATTTTTCACCAGTTTGTAACGACCTTTTCCCGGCCCTATCTATAGCTGGGGTATACTCAGCGAGTATACTAGGGTTCGTTATAAGAAAATTTATCTAAGTAAAATAATAGAGACACTTCTGTTTAAAGTAGCGTTTATTATTTAACAAAAAATAAGAAAATATAATCAATTTGTGGAAAGCGATGTTGAAAATGTTGCTAATGATGTAGAATGTTGTAATGATGTTGTAGACGGTGTAGCATGTTGTAAAATGTTGTATGGTGTTATAAATGTTGTAACGATGTTGTAAACGGTGTAGGATGTTGTGAAATGTTGTATGATGTCATAAACGCTGTCACGATGTTGTAAACGGTGTAGAATGTTGTGAAATGTCGTATGACGATTGCTTGCAGTGGTGCGCAAGTTGCTAACCTTGAAGTGAAAGAAATTCCAAATAGCTAATCTCTAGAAACTCTAATATCAATATAAAACAATACCTTTGTCAGCAAAAGCCAGACAAGGGTTCCTTCCTACTGTTACGCCTGGCCACGTCCGTCAGCAATTGCCAAACGCTCGTTGTCCACACGCCTTCTTACAGTGTTGGTGACTCGTCGCCCATTCCTCCATCAGCTATGGCCAAATGGAAGTCTGGATGACTAGTTAAATTACCCTACGCCAGCAAAAGCCAAGCAGAAGGTAACTCAACTGGTTAAATTACCCTACGCCAGCATAAGCCAAGCAGAAGGTAATTCAACCATTATCACTTCACCCAAACTAGTTCATCCATTCACATGGTGATCGTCAGCAATGGCCAAACGAATCAACATATGCCTGGACCAACTAGTCCGAGCTCCCACTATCATCCCTAATAAAAGTGACTTACCTTGAAGTGAAAGAAATTCCAAATAGAAAGATTTGGCAATTTCGCTGCCCTTTTATTTGAAATTCCTTCCATTACATACAAAAACAATAATTATTTTCAAATAAACAAAGTCCCGTAAATTTGTCAAAACAAATCTCTTATTGTTGTACGCATTGCAATCAAATTCAACAAAAATAACTGCATCACATAAAAAATGCGTGCACAATATTTTTCTTAAATTTGTTTATGCAGACAAACAAGAGAAATAGTTACAACAAATTTAACTAACTTTTATTAGCGGCAAAAAATTAATCAAAACATATTTTACTTTACAGGGTCATTCGTTTATAAAAAATGTTTGTCTTTGATATGTAATTTACAGGGTCAAAAATAGGTGTTACTGCAGAAAAATTTTATTGAATATAGAAATATGTTTTATTAAGTGGATTTAAAACTCATTATAAAAAAACCCATTATACTATTAATTAAATTTGTGAGCCTATATTTTAATGCAAAATTTGGGCCTTACAAGTTCCAAATGGATTGCTCTTATAGCTACGCATGTAAATAAATTTATATAAACCTTTTCTTGGTAATTCTCTCTTTCAATTTTTATATATAGTGGTCCTGCAAAATCAATTCCAGTCGTCTTGAATGGTCTGGCTGTTGTAATTCGTTCAGTTGGCAAAACAGACCATTGTTCATTAGCGCTTTTACATCTGATCCTTTTGCATACTATGCATTGACCTACTATATTTTTGATTAGTTGGCGACCTTGTATTATCCAATATTTCTTTCGTATGTATGCTAGTACTACATTCACACCTCCATGTAGAGTAACTGTATGCGCTTCAATTATTAACAACCTGCTCAGACGAGACAGTTTAGGCAATATAGCTGGTTTTGTCAAACTTTTGTCGTAATCTTTATCTGAAATCCTGCAACTAAGTCTTATCACGCCATCGTCAATAGTTGGATTTAAACATAATAACTTCGATGTTGTTGGCAAAATTTTTCCGTTCTTCAGATAACTAGCTTCTTCAGGAAAATATCTTCTCTGTTCCAGTTTTACCAAAAGTTTTTCGGCTTCAGCAATTTCCTGCGCACTTAAATTTTTTACGTCATTTATTTTTGATGTCTTCTGTACTGTCCTGTGAGATTTTTGTGTCTGCATGTTGCTAATAAACTTCATAATATAGGCTGTTACCCTTAACACTTTTTTGATGTTACTATATTTGTTTATTGTTTCAAATGATTCGCTTTGATTGACAATGTTTTCATTCAGGTCCGAAAATGTTAATAAAATATCATTCATACTCTTGTTGCTTGCAGAATGTATTTGCTTTGCCGATAACCAGCTCGGACCATTTTTCCATAATTCATTATTAAACAAATTTTTGGCTGTACAACCTCTAGTTAAAAAATCAGCAGGATTGCTTTTGCCATCGCAATATTTCCATTCGTATATGTTAGTTAGTTTTAAAATTTCTTTAACTCTTGTTGTAACGTATGGCTTTATTTTATTTCCGCATCCCATAATCCAATTAAGTGTAATTGTTGAATCAGACCATAAGTAGTATTTATCAATCTGTAACTCTAGAGACCCTGATAAAAATGCTTTAAGTCGTACTGCAATAACAGCTGCCGTGAGTTCCAACTTTGGGAGCGAGAGTTCATCATTACCGCTCTTTGTAATTGGGCTTACTCTGTTTTTTGAGCAAATAAATTTGTTTAAAACTATCCCATTCGCCACTGTTCTCAAATATGCCACAACTCCATATGCCTTTGGGCTTGCATCAGCAAATATATGGATCTCTATAAAGCTTTTCTCTGCGTGACACAAACAACGAGAAATTTTGAAATGTCTTAATATTTTAAGTTCGTTTCGCCATGCTTCAAATTCGTAACACATTTCGTCATTTAAAGGCGCGTCCCATTCATATTTCACTTTCCAAATGTTTTGAAGTAAAATTTTTAGTCGCACTGTAAAGGGTGCTATTATTCCTAACGGATCATATATTCTTGCCAAAGCCTTCATCACGCTTTGCTTTGTTGGTTTTAAACTAGCAATGGTTTCAATGGTCTTTACCAGATCAACGCTAATGTCATCTTCAAGAATATACCAATTTATTCCCAAAATTTTTTGAATAGCATTTTGATTACTTTCGCTTGCACAACATTTTCTTATGTCTATGCAGTCTGAATTCCACTTCCTCAAATTAAATTTTGCATCGCTCATAATTTTCTTTGATTCGAAATAAATTTTCTTGGCTTCTTCAACTTCATGACAACTAATTAAAAGATCATCTACATAAAATGACTTTAATAGTGCTTCACATGTTGCTGGAAATGTTTCTTTGCAACTCGTTAAATGTTTTCGAATAACTGCGGATAGCAAAAAAGGGCTAGAAGTAACTCCAAATGTTACTCTCGTCATACGCATTTCTACAATATTTGGCAGTTGTTCGTTTATACTTGGCATTTTGACATACCATAAAAATCTATGTGTATCGCGATCGCTTTCGTCTATAGCAATTTGCAAAAATGCCTTCTCAATATCTGCTGTCATAGCAATTCTCTTTGAACGAAACCTTAGCAATATTGACACTAAGTTTGACAGTAAATTGTCACCTGGGCTTAAAAATTCATTTAACGATCCATGCTCCGCCTCACTTGATGACGCATCAAAAACTATACGCATCTTTGTAGTTGTTTTATCTTTACGATATACTGTTCTATGTGGCATGTAGTATGAAGTTATATCACTCAAATCGCTACTTACCCTTTCAGCAATTCCTCCTTGTAATAATTCTAAGATACCATTGTGGTACTCCAACAACTTTTCTTTATTTGAAATTAATTTCGTAGTTAAATTCTTCAGTCTTCTTTCTGTTAGATATACCAGCTAAGTTCCGCACACGACCGTTTTCTTCAAAGACTTTTATTAAAGAGAAAACTTATAACTAAGATAACAATTGTAATATGAAGTTTTAGTATAACATTTTAGTACTTAATTGCACTGTTGCATTTATGCTTACATTTTGGTACTTAATTGCACTGTTGCATTTATGCTTATAAAGTTTCCCTCAATTCAAGTACATTAATTGATTATTCATTATTCCAAATTTTAGTTCAATCTTGTGCAATCTTATATAGTTTTATAAGTTAATATCTCCTCCTAAACGGCTGAACCGATTTTTATAAAATTTTTTGTGTGTGTTCAAGTGGCTTCAAGGAAGGTTTAGATTCACAATTTGGCCCACTAGATAATGTCTTTTTAATCAATTTTGAATTTTTTAGTATCCATATACATTTATATTAAAAATTTAAAATTTATTCATGCTTACTTTGATTTGTTTAAAAACTTTAAAATCTCTAAAATGAATCGTAAAACTGCCGTTGCATAACTTAAATTATAGGTGAGCCAATTTTTAATCTTAAGTTATGTGGTGGTATTCCTGGTAAATCCAGCGAATTCAAAAATTCAACACACAAAAAAGAAGAATTATATATAAAGATATAAATATCGTACAATGCCACGTTTTCGTGGACGAGGAGGAAATATTGGTCGACGGAAAACCATGAAGATGTAAGAAACCAGGATACAATCACACGTGCTAATGAAAGTCAAGAGCAACGCAACGAACGCCAGGAAAATTAATTGCAAGGGGAAACAACGTTCGCCGGGTCAGCTAGTATATTATAATTTCAAAAATAAATAAAAAAAAATCATTCAAATTTTAATCTTAATCTTTTACAACAGTTAGTTTGTTTTTCTTTAGTTAACAACTTCGTAAACATGTCTGCCGCATTCTCGGATGATGATACGTATTCCACAGCAATGTCACTTGTTTTTTGTTTCTCACGAATATAATGAAAACGAATATCAATGTGTTTGCTTCGTTTATGTACGGTAGGATTATTAACTAAAAATTGAGCACCTTGATTGTCACAAAAAATAGTCGTAGGTTTAGTAATACAACCGTTAAAACCCATTTCCTGTAGCAGACCTCGAATAAAAGCCACTTCTTTTGCCCCTTGGCATAAAGCGATATATTCCGCTTCCATTGAGCTTAGTGCAACTACGTGCTGTTTTTTTGACTCCCAGGCTATAGCACCACCTGAAAGAAGAACTACATAACCAGAGAAAGACTTACGGTCTGTAGCATCTGATCCCCAGTCCGCATCTGTGAAACATCTTAAATTTTCGTTATCTGTTTCAAACTTAATAATACCTTTTGAAGATCCTTTAAGATATCGCAGAACATGCTTAGCTGCTACAAAATGTTCTCGATGTGGATGAGAGTTAAATTGAGACAACTTCGCTACTACATGCGCTATGTCAGGCCTTGAAATAACAGCGAGGTACATTAACTCTCCTATTAGTTTCTGATAGTTCTTTTCCATAGCTTCACTGCAATCATCTTTACATTTTTTTAAAACTACTCCATTAGTTCCTGGTGTAGATGCCGCCTTACAATTCGTCATATTCCAACTCTCCAAAAGTTCTTTAACATACTTTTCTTGGTGAATGTAAATCGCACCTCTAGGACTCTCCCTTTCGATTTGCAATCCCAAATAATTTTTTACCGGTCCGCGATCTACAACTTCAACATAATGATTTAACTCGTGAACTATTTCATTCAATTCTTTCATAGAGGAACATGCAACCAACATATCATCCACATAGAGTCCAATCAGTGTAATTATATTTCCTTTTTTCTTGATGTAAACACAATTATCAGATTGACACCGATTAAAATTCATTTTAATTAAAATTGTTGTAATTTTTTTATTCCATTCCCGTCCAGTTTGTTTCAATCCATAGATTGATTTTTTCAATCGACACACGGCGTCTGGATTCAGCTCGTCTTCAAACATTGGGGGTTGTTTCATACAAATTTCATCTTCTAATTCGCCATGTAGGTATGCTGCAGTAATATATAAGTGATTGATTAACAATCCATGCTTAGCTGCTAATGCCAATAGCAAACGAACTGTAGAGTGTCTCAAAACAGGCGCAAATGTCTCTGTATAGTCTACATTGTATTTTTGTGCGCATCCATGTGCAACCAACCGTGCCTTATAACGATCACCAGTTCCATCAGATTTTCGTTTAATATTGAATACCAATTTATTTCCGATAACATTTTTATTTTCAGGCTTTTCAACTAATTCCCATGTATTGTTTTTTATTAACGAGTCATATTCGGCTGTCATAGCTTCTCGCCAGAGTTCAGCTTCCTCTGAGTTAAGCGCATCAACTAGGTTTTTCGGATTTTCTATAATAGAACTGAGCATTTCGATTTTTTCATCAGTTTTAACGTTGTTTTTTGACTTAACTTCTCTCTTTTTATTTGAAATTACTGTACGGCCTCGAAGCTGTTTTTTATAAACCAATTCAGAATCTGAGTGTGTTTCGTTTGCTGTTTTATCATCGTATATTGATGTTGTGTCAGATTCTGAAGAAACCTCGCCTTGCTCAGCGGATTCTTCATTTTTAATTTCAGTCACCTGATCATTTTCATTTTCAACACTTAGTTTTGGTGTTTCTACTTTAAAAAACGCAAACTCGTTTTCATTTTTTGGCACCTGTGCCTTCATTCGGACTGTTTTCAAAACATATTACGTCCCTTGCCAAAATTATTTGCCTGCTGCTTGAATTGTACATCCTGTATGCTTTTGTATAATCAGCGTATCCAACAAATTTCAGCATAGCTCCCTTTGGAGTGAATTTTCCTCGGAGTGGACCCTTCTGAATAGCCACAGCTTCACATCCAAAAATTCGAAAATGATTCACAGAAGGTTTTCTTCCAACCCATATTTCATATGGTGTAATGCCATTTAATATTTTTGTTGGGGACCGGTTTCTTATGTACACTGCCGTATTACCCGCCTCAGACCACAAACTTTGAGGGAGGTTAGAGTCCAAGAGCATGCATCGAGCCATCTCTACAAGGGTTCGGTTAGCACGTTCTGCTACACCGTTTTGCTGGGGTGTATAACTGACTGTAGTTTGATGAATTATGCCCCGTTGTTCCAAAAATTCTTTAAATTGTTTATTGTTATACTCACCGCCGTTATCACTACGAATAGTTTTTAATTTTTTTCTGTCTGCTTTTCTACGCGGACTAAGAACTGCTTAAAAACTGCAAATGCATCTGATTTTTTTCGTAAAAATTTTACTTCAGTATACTGTAATATATGTGAATTACTGATGTTAGTTTACAATATGGTATAGTTATCAAAGGATATTTTAAACGCCGATATAATTTGGCGATCCTTTTACTAACATCAATTTTTAATTATTTTAAATCAAAGAAAGTTGATTTTTGGTTTGGAACCTAGTGCGCTTCTATTGAGTGCACTTCCAGTTCTGATTTTTATTTAGTTTTTCACTTTCAACTTAACCTAGGTACATAACGACGCAGCGTATGTACTTTCTTATTTACTAAATATTTTATGATTATATATGTATTTAATATTATTTATATTAATATTTATTTATATTTATGTACAAAACGACGCAGCGTAAGTACTTTAATATTTAATAATTTATTGCTAAGTAAGCGTATTCGATTCCACTTGTATCGAGTACGCTTACTGTTGATGTTGTTGTATATGCGGTCAATGCCTGGCAAGCATATGGTTATATCGAAGGCAAAGTGCCGTCGATATGTGTGGTGTCAAATTCCTTGTGTGGAATTGTGCATTTGTTTGTAAACAATGCAATGCGCTTGGAAACAATTAGTGTATTTTTGTATACACTGCGCATTTAAATATAGAACCACTTATTATTATATTAATTGTATGCATTGCCAATATAACTAACGCATATATATTACACCTCCTTTTTGGGAAAGAATAATGCCATAACGAGATTATTCTTACTTTCTTAAATAAAGTTTTAATTTTCAATAGTTTTATATAATTATATTTAGTTTAGTTATATTTATTTGTGTAATCATTACATTTATTTTAACTTATTCATTGTACAATTTTATTCTATTAGTATGTACTAATTGTTTCTTATTTTTATTGTTTCTTATTTCAATGTTTCCATTGTTTTCTATACTTTCTATTCTATAGGGACCCGTGTATTGACTATCTAGCTTGTGACCTACTTCATTCCTAAGTAGTACTTTATCTCCTATTTTTAATTCTAATTGTTCACTATTTCTATCATAGAGTAACTTTTGTTTTAATTTAGACTTATCTAAAAGTGTTTTGGCTCTAGTGTGCGCTATTTCTAATCTATATTTAATTTCTTTACTATAGTCATCTAAATTATATAATGGACTTATGTTACTAATTGTATTGAATTTATTGAAACATTTAGGAATTTTTCCATAAATAAGCTCGTATGGACAATATCCATGCACCACTGATGGTGTTGTATTGAAACAATATGTGAAGTATTTCAACCATATATTCCAGTCGTTTTTATCGACTGATATGTATGAACGTACATATTCATTAAATGTTCGGTGACTGCGTTCTACAGTTCCGAGTGTTTGATGGTGATGAGCTGTTGATGTTATATTTTTGATTTTTAAGTATTTGCATATATCCGTTATTAAAGAATTTTTGTACTCTGTACCCATGTCCGTAATGAACGTCTTCATTGGACCGTACAAAAGTATAAAATTTTCAAAAATTGCCTTGGCTACAGTATTTGCACTTTTATTTGGTATTGGTATAGTTACTAAGTATTTTGTTAAATCACATATAAGTGTGACAGCATAC